GACCATTCCTACAAGGATATTCTAGCTTTTCTAGAAAGGGGAGCAGATGAGCCGGGTGTGGTGGCTCACTTCTGTAAGCCCAGCTATTTGGGAGGCACAGATTGGGAGGATCATGGTTCAAAACCAGCCTGGGCAAAACATTAGCAAGACCAGATCTCAGCAAACAAACTGGGCACGGTGGTATCTGTCTATATGTCTGTGGTCCCAGAGACATGGAGGATTTCAGTCTGAGGCTGGCCCAGGGCAAAAACCTAGAGGCCTCGCCTGAGTAATAACTAAAGTAATGAAAAGGGGCTGGGGGCATGGTTCAAGTGGTAGAGCGGCTGTCTAGCAATCAGAGATCCCGAGTCCTGAGTTCAAACCCTAGTACTGAGAGCGAGCGAGCGAGAGAGAAAGAGAGAGAGAGAGGGGATTAGAGGTTGCGCCCACCCAGACTCAGTGCACAAGGCAGCCTGTAAGCCTGTACCCACCTGTTCTCATGGACACTCTTCCAAAATACCCACAGCCAGCGCTCTTTCCTCCTTTGCTGTCTCGGGTCCCTGGTGGGCAGAACCCCTGGGTCCTCTCTGGGGCCATGTGTGGAGGGACAGTGGGAGTGCAGGACCCCCACACCCGATTCAGTCCTCTTCTCTGATGTCTTGAGTCCCTCCATCTATGTCCAAGGCTCCCTGCCATCGGAGCTCCTGGCCTGGGTGTCTCAGATTTGCTAACAGCCTCGAGACCCTCTGGACCACCACAGGACCCGGCCTGGGTGCAGGCAGTGCGAGGTGCCCACCGGACATTCACCTGGACGTCCACAGCGTCCGCCCTCAGTGGTAAGCACTCTGCAGACCCGATCCCCAGAAGTGACCCAGATGTGTAGCTGTGTGGAGTCCGGGATTCCACTTTCCTACCCGCCACTGGCCAGGCTGGGCTCCCATCTGGAGTAGGATGACCGTGAGGAGGGGCAGGAGGGGACCTCCGTTATGCTAAGTCTTCTTCCTTCCTAGGGCTCCTTCTTTGGGGAAGGGTGAGGAGAAGGACGCCTTCAGGCAGAAACTGGTAGGTTCCACAAGGTGAAGCTAAGCTGTTGGCTGTCCTGCGTCTTCTAAAACTTTCCTGATATATTTTTCCAGGACAGATAGCTGGCATCTTGTGAGCAGGTCCTTGCTCATAGTAAGTACTTGCAAATGCTTGTAGAATGAGTAACAGATCCACAAATTTACGAATTCAAGAGACTTTTCTTTATCTGTGGTGTTGGGAGGTGAACACAAGTGCCTTACCACTGAGTCAATCATGAACCCAACAGACGCTCTAATTCAGCAAATCACAGAAGTACACTGTGAGGGTTCCCCTCCCTCCCGTCAATCAGCCTCCAGGCTACCAAAAGAAGGAAAGAAAAAAAAAGCTTTCTTTCAGCTTTGGCATGGAAGGTCCCCGAGTTTCAGTCCAAATAGCAAAGCGATGCAGTTGTCGGGATTGTCCAGACATCCAGAGCAGTTGGGAGCAGCAGCTCTGGCCTGTGACCTCCGCCTCCCCTCCCCCCGGCCCCCCAGGTGTCTGTCGCAGCCCGGCCTCCTCCCTCCAGACAGCCAAGGCTGACCCACGTGTGGGTCCCGATGACCATCTGGAAGTGGAACACGGGGTCCCTCTGCCTCCCCTTCAGGGACAGATTTTGTGGGACCCAATGCGTCTTATTGGGGGGGCGGGCACTTGCTGAGGAAAAGGAGTACAAATCATCAATACAGAGCCAAATGGACAGGATGAGAAAAGAAGTCACAGCCATTCTCGTTTTTTACGAGCTGATGCCACCACAAGGGACGTCAGGATGTCCCCACCTTTCCTGGCTGCCCCTTTCCTGGGATAAGAATGCATAGCATTTCAAGTCTTCTCTCTCTTTTTTTTCTTTCATCTTTTGGCTGCTATGTAGCCCAGGCTGGCCTGGAACTTGCCATCCTGCTGCCTCTGCCTTGCTAGGGCTGGGATTATAGCTGTGTACCACCATACACAGCTTCAAGTTTTCTAGGACAGTGGTAAGTCAGAAAGTGTCTTTGACCTGATGACATTGGTTGTCCTGGTCCTTGCTGCAGTGATGGACATTTGATAAACAGGAAGTGTAAATGTCCCCAGAATGTCCATCAGATGAGTCCCTTTGTTGGTTGGGTCATCAAACACCCAGGAACCTATTGACTTCTGTTTTGGTTACCTTTTAGTTCTCAATGCCCACTGGTGTCTGTGGATTTCAGTTTTCATCTTTAGCCCCTGTGTTTGCTCGTCTCGTCTGTTTGATCTGCAGATTCTCTGGTTTTTTTTTTTTTGCAGAATCAGGGCTTGAACTCAGGGCCTACACCTTGAGCCACTCCACCAGCCCTTTTTTTATGAAGGATTTTTTGAGATAGGGTCTCATGAACTGTTTGCCCAAGCTGGCTTCGAACCGTGATCCTCCTGATCTCTGATTCCTGAGTAGCTGGGATTACAGGCGTGAGCCACCATGCCTGGCTCTCTGGGTTCTTTAGTAACAGAACATGGTGAAGTTGTCAAAGAAGGTCCTGCCCTGCCCACTGAGGCAGCTCTGCCCGGTGCTGCCCGCTCAGCTCCCAACTTGAGCTCAGTCTTACAGGGCAGACCAGCCAAGTCTTCAATGACGACCAGAGAGGGACATAGTGCGACCATGGGGAGGACAAGGGTCCCAGTGAGTTGGGGAGGGGCCAAACCACCCCAAAAGAAGGGGCATTTGGGGCGCATCTGATCCCTGGTCTGAGGCCCTCTCTCTCCTCTCTGTCCAAGGTGTCCTTCATCCTTCAGCCCTCGGTGGTGCTGTCTCCTCCAGGAAGCCCCTTGGCCTTTCTGGCTCCCTCCTTCTCCTCCCTCTCCCTAATGTCCTGTAGCACCTATGGCCCTTGGTGTCCCTGCATCTCTGCTGGGACCTGGCCTGGGGCTGAGGAGACAGAAGCTCACCTAGGGTCAGGCATCGCCCTTCCAGCCTCTGCCTTAGCTGGGAATGGTCACTTCCCCCCCCGCCCCCCGCCCACCTTCCTGAGGCCACTGCGCTGCCTGGGGAAGTGGATCGAGGACGCTTGTCCCACACAACCCAAAGTGATGCCAGAGAGGGACTCCTGACAAGAGCAGCCGGGACAGGCAACCACCGAGGCCTGGCTTGGTTTTGAAACAAGTGGCTGTGAGGTCATTCGACTGGCACAGACGAACGCAGTGTCCCATGACAAAAACGCAAGGGTCTTCATCTTTCTTCTTGTTTGTTCCCTTTTAATTGACGCGCAGTGATGTACAAACACGGGCAGCGGTACGTATTTATCATGTAAACATCGACCACACCAATCGGCGTCTCCGTGACGTCAAACGGTTTTCAATTCTGTGTGACAAAACATCCCAGATTCTCACTTCCAGCTCTTGTGAAATCAACAGTGTGTGACTATCCGCTCTGTCACCATGCTTTGCGACTGAGCTCCGGGGCTCACTCCTCCGATCTCGCTGGAACGCTCTACCCGCTCTACCCGCCGGCTCACCTCTCCCCAGCCCGCCCTCCTCCACCTTCCCAGGCCTGTGGCAACCACCAGGCTGCGCTGCCTCCAAGAGACCAACCTTGATAGATTCCACACAGAAGGGAGAACACAGGCTCCCTGTCTTCTGTGCCTGGTTTACTTCACTTCACACAGTGTTTCTAGGCTCACCCACGCTGTCTCGAGTGACAGGATTCATCACTTTTTATGGCTAAATAGTATATTCCACTGTACTCATTACTACATTTTCTTTCTCCATTCATCCACTGGTGGACGCCTAAGTTGATGCCACTGTGAGTGGTGCTGCAGCGAACTTGGGATTGCCCAGATCTGTTTTGGTTTTGTTTTTTGGTAGCACTGGGACTTGAACTCAAGGCCCCAAGCTTGCTAGGCAGGTGCTTGAGCCACACCCCAGCATTCATATCTGTTTGGCGCACTCATTTCCTTTCTTCTGGGCAGATATACTATAGTGGGACTGCTGCAATCTACATACAGCAGATCTACCTTCAGTTTTGGGGGGACAGCCAAAAATTTTGGGAGGAAATCCATACTGATCTCCACAGGGGCTATAGGAATTGACACTCCCACCAACACGGGCAGCAGTCCCCATTCTCCACAGCGTCACCTGTCATCCCTTGACGCTTCTGATACCTACCAGCCACACTAAAAGGAGTGACATTATGTCTCACAGGGCTTCCTTCTACCTCAAGGCCGCACAGGGGCTGCTGGCGAGGACTCCAGCGTGGCCAGTCCAGGGAGCGCCTGGTCACCTCCAGGCCTCCACCCTTCCCCAGGGGCTGCCTCTCAGTCTAGGTGCTGTCTCCCTGGTCTCTGTGGTCATCTGCTCTCTCCAGCATCCATTATCTGGTCCCCGTCCCAGAACACTGTGGGCTTTGGAGGAATAAGCCTGCCAGGGTGCAAGGGGCAGGTGGGGCCGGACGACCCCATAGCACGGACCAGGGTTCGAGTGCTGACCAGGGCCAGGTGGGGGATGAGACATCCTCGTAGGCCACTGCCAGTGAGACGAAGTCTGAGACAGTTAGTTGTCACACGTGGTGACAGATGCATGCCGGTGGTCAGGTTAATATCGTGTCACCTGTCCAAGGACCAGCCTTGGATCCAGGGCCACAGGAGCCACTTGCCATGCATAGACAAGGCCCCCAACTCAGGGAGGCAAGGCAGCTGGGAAATGAGGTTCACTTGCAAGTGAGATGCCTGTCGTCACCTGCAGAGACCCTTTCCATAGACACTGGGCCAAGAGCCAGTGTCTGCCCTCTGACCTGGCGATCTGCTGTTCATGAGGACATTACGCCTCATCTCCTGGGTTACATCTGGACACAATGCAGGGGGTGGCGCAGCCTTAGGCAGGTACGAAAGTGACCCCAGCGGGTGGCTGTGAAGTTTTGGGACTCCCCGAAAGCCAGGGGAGCTTGCAGAGAAGGACTGGGAGGCAGCTCTTGGCCAGGGGGAGGGGATACTCCAGGGCATGGGCTTTGCCTATCCTCAGATGCCCTCGTTGGTGGCCGTGGAGGGTGTCTCCCTCCCCTCCAGCTCGGGCTCCTCCCGCAGTGCCCGGCCCAGCACAGCCCCCAGGGACTCCTGCAGCCCCCGGCTCCTCTGGCTGCCCACCAGGAAGTAGATGACGGGGTTGGCACTGCTGCCAATGGAGGAGGAAAGGCGGGACAGACTCGTGTACAGGAGCCACACTTCCCGAGGCAGGCCCACCCAGTACAGGACGAACCAGTAGAGGCCCAGGGGCAGCGAGCACACGAGGAACACCAAGACGGAGACCAGGATGACCACGAACAGCCTCCGGGGCCTCTGCCGCTGGAGCAGGGAGCTCCTCCGCACCCGGACATAGAGGATGGCGCTGGACAGGGTCATCACGGGCACAAAGACCCCAATGATGAGCACCCCGAAAACCATGTCCACCTTGAAACACTGCTGTTTCTGGGGATTCCAGAACCAGCTGCAGAAGAAAGAGGCCAGCGTGTTCATCAGAAGGGACAGCGCCCAGAGCACGGCGCACACCACGGCCGACAGGTGCCGGGGCTGGTGACACTTGTACCAGATGGGGAAGAGGACAGAGACACAGCGCTGGGTGCTGATGGCCGTCAGCAGGCTCAGGCCGGCGGTGTAGGCGAAATACTTGGTTCTACTCAGCACCTCGTAGGCCTTGATGACCTCCACCTCGTGGCTGTCTCTGTTCAGCTCGGCCAGCGGCTGGGTTTCCAGCCCCACCAAGGCAGCCATGCAGAGGAGGAAGAGGAGGTCGGCCACCGCCAGGTTGAGCACATAGACGTGGAAGGGGGACCTGTGCGCGCGGCAGCTCAGCAGCCACACCACCAGGCCATTGCCCACTATGCCACACACGCAGGTGGTCACGACCAGGGAGCAAACCCCGAGGTAGGCCAAAGTTGCCGCATCCATCCCCGAGCTGCTCGCCATTGACCTTGGGGTCGGGAGAGTGCTGCTCAGGGCGTGGGTCATCCCTAGGGGAGGAAAAGGGACCGACATGAAATTCTGTGTTGCCTGGAACATGGATGACTTTTGGGGTCCTCCCATCCCCCCGCCGCCAAGAACTTCCTCCCTTGGGGCTCTTGGGCCAGGTTCTTCTGGGGACAGACCGTGGCCCTGTCTCTGGGACTCTCGCTCAGCCTGCATCAGCCACCAGGTCCCCCTCAAGGACACCACCTTGCCATAGGTGCCCCTTCTCAGCTCAGGCTGTCTTCTTTTAAAATCATGGAGGAGGGCTTTGACGTGTATCAAATGTCTTTCCCACATCTACTGAGATGACCATTTTTTCCCTCCTGTCATTTTCAAATCCTGTTGAATTAATTTTTTGAAAATTAGATTTTCGGAGTAGAGTTAATTGCATCCTCTCATCTGAGCCACCCATGGCCACGGGTCCAGTCCTCCGTCTGTCTCACTCGTCTTCATCCTGGCTTTTCCTGTCCTCCCCCTACTTGTGTCTGTTCTAGCCCGTTTAAAACAGGCCTTTGGACATATCCTTTGGAATAGGGTGGTGCCTGTCAGTGTTTGTTGTTTGTTTGTTTACTTAATTAGTATTTGGGGGTTTGAACTCAGGACCCTGCACTTGGAAGGCAGGCCTTTTACCACATGAGCCAGGCCATCAGTGTTTTAAGTGTGCATAAATGTGTGATTTAGAATTTATGCTTTTTTTGTCTTTCAGCAATCTGTTTTGGGGTATATCCAGGTGGCTTTATGGAAGAGTGTTTTGTGACAAAATCTCATGCAATACATTCACCCGTTTTCACAGTGGAGCCTCAGCTTGCTTCCAATCCAATCCAATATTAATCCTGGCCAGAACTTTTTTTTCCAGCTCTGGAAGTTGCATCTTCTCTCATTTATATCTTTTTTCCTCTCTATTATGTTCATTTTTCCTTTAAACTTTTTTTTGATAGGACTGGGGTTTGAACTCGGGGCTTTGTGCTTGCAAAGCAGGCACAAAATACACCTCCAGTCTATTTTGTGCTGGTTATTTTGCAGGTGGGGTCTTGTGAAGTATTTACCTGGCTGGCCTCGAGCCTCGAGCCTTCCAATATCAGCTCCTCCCAAGTAGTCACGATTACAGGCATGAGCCACTGGTGCCTGACTTTTTCCTTTAAATTTTGACCATGTTTACAATATCTGCTTAAAATTCCTTATTTACTAGTCTTATGATCTGTCATGTTTTGGGTTTCTGGATTTCTAAGTTTTGCTCTTGGCTCTGGGACCTATTTACCCACATGTAGTGCGAGTTGATGGGATTTGGACATGGTGCCTTTTACATTGCTGGGAGCCTGGAGTTTTTCATCTTCCTTAAAGAGTGGTGGGCTCTCCTCGGGCAGGCATCCCATCCCCTACCTTTCAAGACCTCATTGAGCTTTGTGGGGGCGGGGTGGGGGGCGAGACGGCTGTCAAAGCAGTGTCTCTGGGCTTTCTGCGGAAGGCCCAGGTGTGGGGTGGGATCCCTCCGTCCTGGCTTATCGGGATCTGGGCCCTCCCAGCACTGTGTGAGCTCTGGGATTTGGTCTGCTGACAGTCAGTTCATGGTTGTTTTTGCCCAGGTTCCTGATATATGAAGCGTCATCCTGTAGAAAATTATTTTTCAGCTGAAAACTCCACAGACCTCTCCACAGAATTTGGGGTTCTTTCTCTGAACACCTCACTCTCTTCTCGATGATATTCCAGCCACCTACATCTCCCCTCAGTGTGAATTTTGTATCTTCAACTCATGCTTGCCTGGCTTCCCCGTTTCCTGCGCCACCGTCCAGGGTAATCCTCCAGCCTCTCCTGTTTGTCTCCTGTTTGATCACAGTGCTGGGCTGCTTGTCTGCCAACAGTGGCGTCTCTGTTCTCTCCAGGCGCTCATGGTGGGAGGGATGGTCCAGTGCTGTGGTTCCAAAGGCCACAGACAGAAGCGCCTCAGTTAGCGTTTCCTGTTGCTTGCCTCTGTGTACAGGAGCATAGCTGGTTCCCGGTTTTGTTTTACTAATGGGGCCACTGCTCTGATTCATTTTATCATACCTATGTTTGTGGAATATTTTGATTTTTGGGGGTAGCTATGACAGCACTGTATCCTTTTTCCATGCCTTACAGGAGTCAAGCACACCTAGCTTCTTCCTAAAAATAAAAGAAAATGTGTCTACGGTTTCTATCAGATAGGATTTCACCCTAAGTTTTTGGCATTCTTTTATCAGGATGAAAAAATTACCTTCCTAGTTTCCTGAGAGGTTTTTTCATCATAAATGCATGGTGCAATTTGCCGAAAGCCTCTTTCTGCATCCACTGATTTTTGTGCATATAAATATAACAGAGTGTGTAAGTGTCTATGTGTCATCGCGGCACTGAGGTTTGAACTCAGGGACTCGCGCTCACTAGGCAAGTGAGCCAACTCTTGGGGCACGCTCAGCTCTTTTCGCTGTGGTTGTTTTTCAAATAGGTTCCCGTGTTCTTCCCTGGGCTGATCTGGACCACCGTCCTCCAATCTGTGCCTCAAGAAATGCTGGGAAAACAGGCAGATGCCATCATTCCCAGCTTTTTTGTTGAGATGGAGTCTCACTACCTGTTTGCCCAGGCTGGTCTGGAACCAGGATCCTCCTGATCTCTGCCTCCCAAGTAGCTGGGATTACAGGCGTGAGCCACTGTGTCTGATGAGATAATCCTGTTTTGTTTTCTTCCATAGTCTGTTTACGTGATGAATATACATTGGTAGGCTTTCCCTAAGTAAGGAGTTATTCCTTCCTTGTTTTTCTAGGATAAAATATAAATTTTATAGTTTATTTTATTTTTCTGGTTTGGTCTGATTTTATTTACCCATTTTCATCCCTGTTCGTAAGTAAAACCGGCTCATGCTTTCCCTTTCTGCTGCTATCCCCGTCTGGCTTTATCTCAGAGTTGTAAGGTTATGCTGGCTTTGTAAAGTGTGTTCGAGAGACTCCTCTTTTTCTTTACCCTCTCGAGCAATTTGCACCCCGTAGGGGTCGTCTTTCTTTGAGGGTTTGGTAGAAGGAAAGCAATCTTATGAGTTTTTATGTGAGTGGGAGTGGGTGTGCATAGCTGTAAAACAGAAATCCAAGTTATTTAATGGTACCATTCTATTCAGACTTCATCCCCTCTTGAATTAAAGTACATGATATTTTTCCTCCCTTTCTGGACTCATTTCTCAGTATAAAACTCTGTAGTATTTGTCTTATATTCAAGTAACTATTTACTATCATAATATGGTTTTACTGGGGGTCCCTGGTGACACAAAAGTTCTTACCATGGGTCATGGTTGAATTCACCCCCTCCACCATTTTTCTTTATCTCCCCTCCCACCATTCCCGGAATAGTTTCAGCAGGTGTCATCTCTCCATTTTGTACACGAGTGCGTAATATTCCACCACATTCACCTCCTACACCCTTTCCTTTTCCTCTTTCCTCCCCTGGTGCCAGCCACCTCTGTCATTCTTTATGTGTTCCTTGGCTTCTTTTTCTTATTTCTTAGCTTGACAGAGAGGGTTTTTTTTGGGGGGTGGGGAGCAGTTTGAGACAGAGTCGCTGTGTAACCCAGGCTGCCCTCAAACTTGAGGTCCTCCTGCTTCTGCTTCCAAGTGCCGGGATTATATGCGTGTACCATGTGTCCGGTTTAGAGTTTAAAAGTTGTCACTATTGTTTCTTTGATTTACATTTCCTAAATTCATGCTTTTGTTTCTTCCATCATTTTGGATTTCCCTTGTGGGGTTTTCTTGGGGGGAGGCTGTGCTGGGGGTTTCTTTATAATCTATTTGATTGAGCTGCTACAATTGTGCTGTGGCCAGGATGAGGCTCAAGTGGTAGAGCTCTTGCCTGGCCAGCACAAGGCCCCGAGTTCAAACCCCAGTACTGCCAGAACAAAGCAAAAATACAGTGTGGCGTAAGTTCTTTTTGTCCTCTCTGATTTTTGGTCCCCGGTGAGCCCTGGCCATGCTGACTGTGGCGTCGCCATTTTCTCTTTCATCTCTTTGAAATTTTGTTATCATATGCCAACCCAAGGCTACCTGGTCAGGCGACTTGTGCCTTTTATTCATTTTCCATCTACTTTTCAGTGCTGGCTGTGGACTGGGGGCCTCGTCACTGCTTCCCACGGCGGCCACGCGGGTCTCCATACCCATGCCCGGTGCCAGCCGCGGCCAGCGCTTTCTCCACCGCCCTTGCTCTGGCCGCCTGCAGAACCCACAGCCTGCCACCTGCCACCGCTTTCCACCCACTTCTCCCACGGAGATTGGCTGTCACGCGAGCGGCTCTGACTTGCATCTGACTCTGTTCACGGTCTGTGATGGGGCGGATCTAGAACTTTCCTAACGGTGCCCAATTCCACGAACACGCAGACGTGCCACCCCCCCCCACCCCCGCCCCCACACACCCCACACCCACCCCACCCCCACACCCCCACACACTTCCACACCCCCACACCCCACGCACCCCACACCCACACCCCCACCCCCGCCCCCACACCTCCACTCACTTCCACCCACACCCCCACTCACCACATGCTTTCACACCCACACGTGTTCACACCCACACACCTCACACCCATGTAACACGTGTGCTCACCCCCGCAGCCCCTCACACCTGCACTGTCTCAGTGAGAAGGGACCAGCCACCAGCCTCCCTGTGGATGGGCTTCTCCTGTGTGCATGGCCCACAGCCAGGGGGACAGGCGCCTCCGGACCAGAAATGGCAGCGGGCAGCGGATGGGGCTCAGATTGAGGAGCTTTCCTTATAACTGGTCCTGAAGGGGAGGGGCAGGTAGTTGGCGCTGCAGGGACCCTGAGCACCCTGCACCTGCAGAGCCTGCTGTGCAGCTCGGGAGCGCAGGTGACTTCTGGAAGGACTGTTGTCATTGAGGGGGGGGCTGGGGCAGGGAAGCAGGACACGGAGGGTGGGACTGGGCTTCTGGACTAAGGGCCTCCTTGCTGCATACCTGTGTGTGAATGGAGTGACACAGCAGTGCAGCAGAGGCATTGGCCAGCCAGGAGACAGTCATCGCCCAGGTGGGAAGAGAACCAGGTGACACGAAGTGGAAGTGCCACGGCCCGTCCCCATGCTCCCCTCCCTGCGTTCAGGGAAGATGGAGGGGTCATTCTCCACCATGTGGTAAGCAGCAGGGGTGGGGAAGGAAGAAACAGAGGGTGGGAGGAGAATGCATGTCTCCCCCATATCAGTGCCCAGCACACAGTGGTGCTCAATTAATGATTGTGCGGGTGTCCCTAGCTAGACACTCTGCTGCGTGCTGTCTGATCGCCAGCCCTCCTCCCCTCAGCTCTGGAGAGGGGCAGGAGTGGGGTTGCGAGCCGCAGCTGCGTCCCTCACCTGTCCACCCTGTGTCTGGCACCATGTATGCACATGAACTTTTCAACAGATAAACAGTGAGCAAATTGACAGACTGAGGACCCGGCCAGCTCCTGCAGTGCCCTGGACAGTGACTCCCTGAAAGATATGTCCCTATTCCAGACCCCGTGAGTAGGAACTTGTTTGAAAATAGGGTCTTTGCAGATGCAATTAAGAATCTGAAGATGAGATTGTCTTGGATTAGTCAATGGCATTTGTCAGAGGAGACACGTGGAAGAAGAGAGGTCACCTGAAGATAGGCTGAGATTGGATTTACAGGGCCCCAGCCACACAAGGGTGCCTGGAGCCACCAGAAGTGAGAGGAGAGGGGAAGGAGACTCTGGAGGGAGGGAGGGAGAGAGGGAGGGAAGGAGGGAGGGAGAGAGAGAGGGAGGGGGAATAGGGAGGGAGAGAGGGAGGGAGGGAGGGAGGGAGGGAGAGAGAGAGGGAGGGGGTAGTAGGGAGGGAGAGAGGGAGGGAGGGAGGAGGGAAGGAGGGAGGGAGGCCCTGCTGACACCTGGTCTGGTTTCTGCCTTCTGACTGTGTGTTAAGTTGCTGTTTTGAAGACACTTGCTATGGTAGCCACAGGAAACTCATTCTGCAGAGAACAGTGTCATGGTGACAAGCTTGCCCTGCTGGTGTTTGATCCTGGACTTGAAGAGAGGTTCTGTCCCCTAGCACAGCAGAACAGTGGGGGACCTAACACCAGGCAGCCCCCTCTTTTCAGTATTCTCTTCCTGGGAACCACGCTGGGCTGTGAGGTCCAGCCTGGGGGCCTGAGCCTGGCACTGTGGGGAGCACTCAGAGTCCCCTGTGGAACCCCAGGCTGCTCAGCCCTCACTGGGGTCACAATGGCCTGGGATGGCTTGAGGCTCCTCTAAGGCTTTGAACTTGAGTTTGCTCAAGTTCAAAGCTTTGCTGGGGACTGTCCCAAACTGACGCTAACTGCTGGCCTCAGCACCAACAAATGGTGGCAAAACTTAATGCGGGCACTGACAGTGAGGGGAAGGGACCATTGCTTATGCCAGGGAACTGCCACCCTTGATCCCAAGACACTTGGCTTCCTGACCTGAGAATGGAGCCCTTCAGCCCATTCTCAACTGTGCTCCGGCAGCTATGGTATGTTTGCAGTGTTCCCACTCCCCCGAGGCTGAGCTTAACATTCTTCTGACTTTAAAATTATTTTCTATTTCCACTGCTTTATGGTCAGGAAATGAGCCTGGTTTTAAAATGCATCGCTCTCTGTCTGTCTTTCTCTCTCACTCTTTCCCTCTGAAGCACTAATTTTCTATGTCAGATAAGGTTTAAAATGCAGAACATAGAAAATTAGGCTTAGCATTTCTGACCTCTAAGCCTCATTTGAATTTTTGTTCATTCCACTAAAAACACAGAAGTGGCTTCTTTTCCGCTCCTACTATAACATTCATTCTCCTCCTAATTTAGCATTTTAAAAAATTACACAGAGAGAATCCAACACAGTCCCATTTTAAAAGATGCCTGTGCTAAAGAGGTCATAATACTCCCCCATCTGTTTTCTTTTTTGGGGGGAGTGGCATTCTGGGGCTTAAACTCAGGGCCTTGACCTTGAGCCACTCCACCAACCCTATTTTTTTTGTGTGTGTGTGAAGGGATTTTTGAGATAGGATCTTGAGAACTATATGCCCTGGCTGGCTTTGAACTGCAATCCTCCTGATTTCAGCCTTCTGAGTAGCTAGGATTACAGGCGTGAGCCACCGGCGCCCAGCTCCAGTCTGTCTTCTTATCCTCACTCCCTGGTGTCAGGCTCTGGGATTGGGGTCACACACTCTCACTTTAAATGCTCAAGAGGTAGGTCTTTTTAACCCCTCTCTTAGGAGATGAGGGCTCAGAGAGACCGAGACACCTGTCCAGGTGGTTCAGCAGGCCCAGCAGAGCAGGGGCTGTCTTTGGATCTAGCAGACAACAGGGCAAAGCTTCTAACCACCATGCTCACCTGTCTGTGGATGTGGCCTGCTGGCCTTCAGGGTCCCTCGCGGCTCTGGTCCCTGGAGACCTCAGTAGCTTGTTCGAGGTCCCTGAGCCGCTCCTGTCCCAAGTCCCTGGTGTCTCTCCACCAGGAAGCGCTGCTCCCTGCTGTCTTCACTGTCCCCAGCTTCAGAGGATCCTTGTCCCCTGGACCCCCATCCCTAGAGAAACTGCTCTGCTCCCTCTGAGGAGTGAGAAGGGAAGCCAGCCTGAGGTATAAGGGCAGGAAGGGCGCCGCCCCACCCTCTAGAGACCTCCCCACGTGGGTGCCATGGGTGCCACGGAGCTGGTCCAGAGGAGCCGACTGCAGGCTAATGGGCCTCACAGGTGTGGCCCTCCCACTCCCTGCCCAGTCCCCCGTGAGGCGGGCGGGCCTGTGAGGAGCAGTGAGAGAATTACCCCTTCCGTGCATCCTGGAGGCGCCTGGCTTCCCGGAGCATTAGTGTCGGGAGTGGGGTGGAGCTGCAGAGGGAAGGGGGCTCTTGTGGGCTGAGAAAGCCCATTATGGACCCCCCATTGCCCATGTAAAGAGCTGCAGTGGCTAATGGACTCAGCCAAGCTAACTGTGGGATGGCGAGGAAGGAGCTCTTGGAACCGAAGCTCTGCCTTGCGTGAGTCGGTCAGGTGGCTGTACAGTTCTGGTGACCTCATCGAGCCTCAAAGTCCCCACCAAGGGGCTTGTCATCCCTCCTTGGACTCCCAGCTCCCCAAGAGAATCAGAGGTGGTGCCGATGCCACAGGAGGCACAGGAGGGAAGGGATGGTTTCAGCCTGGCTGGTCACCTTTCCCCTCACATTGACCATCTCCACCTTCCTGCCAGGCAAGTGAGGAATTCTGATGTAAGGCTCTTCTCAGATGGGATGGAGGCTGAAGTCCCACCTGGGCCGCCTGGGCCTGTGAGGGGCTGGGCTGGCACAGGTGCTCAGATGGCCATAAGTGTGAAGCAGCCAAAGGCTGAGGCCCTGAGATGGTTCCAGAGCCAGCACTGCCCTGCAGATGGAGAACATTTGGGTGTGAGAGACACCGAACATCAGATTGGGCTAAAAATGCGAGTGAGAAAGAGAAGGTGGGGAGCCCGGGAGTTGGAACTTACAATGGAGATGCCATGGGGGCCCTGGGCTGCTTGGCAACCCTACAGGATGTGGGTCATCCTGACCCTGCATTCATGGCCAGGACTTCTATGAAACGGTTGTTGTGTTTCCATGGTAACTATGTGGACCCCAGGACGTGAGACCTAGCCTGAGAACTGTGTTCTGGGAAAGGAACACAAGACCTCAGACACAAGAGACAGAGACAGACGCTCAGCAGGATGGAGTTTCCTGGCGTGGGAATCCTGGTTCTCGCACCTCTGTGCCCTGAGTGTAATTACTGGTGATTGTCAGAGTCCCAGAGTCCAGGCACCTGGTCTATCTACACCTGACTTTTTATTACTATGAGCCAATCCATTCTGTTTGTGTGTGTTTCAGTGGAGTTTCTGTCAGTTACTGTGAAGAAGGGACAAAAGGGCAAATACCTCTAACATGCAACTGAGTCTTGCTGGGATGACACCGAAGTTTGTAAAACTCTTTAGGTTGGGCCATGGATGCCAGGAGGCAGCTTGGCTATGCCTCCCCATGTACAGGGTTGCTGGCTTTTGTTGATCTGAGATCTCCTGGAGGCCATTTAGCTGAGGCCTGGGGAATAACCAAGTCCTTAAGAACCTTGATCAAGTGATAGAATACTCCAGTCTAAGGTTTAATTCGAGGACCATGTTTCAGGGGATGATGGTTTTGGTTGC